TTTGACACTCTTTTAAGGCGTGAACAGCGTATCAGTTATTCCATGTCTGGAAGAATAGTATCGTTTCTGCTACAGGGAAGGAATGATTATGCATAATATAGAAGAGGCCAGTTTAAATATCGAGATATTATGTATCATGGGTCATATCCCTACGCTAAGTTGACTAGCTATCCCCCTGACACAAAGCAACAATCGATACATGCACTGAGGTATTAGCGTACCAGCTGGCTTGATGGAGCTCTGGACAGCTGGTTCGGGCTTGTGGCCCCATCAGCACAGCATCCTTGGCACATGCACCATTTGCACACCAACACACCCAGACCTAGTATGCCTTGAGAATTTAAGTGGCCGGGTTAGAGATGGCTAGCAACGTACATAATACAGCATATCATCTACTTGATACATACATCTATATGTGTACTAGACAACAAGCAAGCCAAAAGGACCTAACAACATGCTTCTCCTGGACAGTGTTCCTCGGCTGAATAGAGGAAATGGTTGGTATCAGCAGCCACTCAAAGTATAAAATATGGTTGTTGTTATTTACTTTACTATAGTATGAGGCCTCATTATAAACCAAAGAAGACACCCTTGTTCCACTGACCAGTAATGCAGACGCTCTCTCCACTGCAGCCATTGCACATACCTTGATGTGTACATGATTGTATACACACGTGAAACATGCACAAAAGATTAAACTGGTGACTTAGCTTGCCAAGCATTCATTCCAATGTAGAGAGTAGCTTCCAGTGAGATTGCCCTCCCCCTCTCATGACATATATACACAGTCATGTGGGAATACAATGCTCCAGGTGGCGTCCCTCCATTCATTGCCAAGTCTTGTGTCTCCAGCATGCAGTCCATTGTCATGTACTGTACACCCTACGCTGTCTGCACTACTGTCTGTGGTTTGCTCTGTGTGATATTTCAGCTGTGTAAATGAGTTAGGAGACATGAAAACTAAACAGCTCACACTTTTAAGCAGGCCATACGCGAGGCAACTTTGAAAGTGTATTTGTATGGGAAGGCCAGACAAGTAGTTGCCAGAAATGTAGAAAAGCTATCTATTTCTGGTAACTAGTTGCCTGGCCCAATTGTATCAATACACCTTGTAAGTTGCTGCAGCTTTTGTTGAAGCAATAAAATTGCCGCGTGTATGGCCTGCTTTACATGAAGAAAGAAGAAAACCTGAGAGAGGGAGGGGAGAGTTTCTGAAACCTTTATACAAACAAAACACATTGACATAGACCAAGGCTTGTTGACTGCAGGGGCTTTGTACATCTACGTATGTAAGACCATCGTAATCCTTAATATTCACTCATGCACGTAACTGAATTTTTGCAGTTGTTGTTGCATGTTGTTGCAGGTGCCAGTAAGTCTCACATTCCCTCACCAAAAATCCATTGCATTTGTTCAAGTTTGTTAACTAGTTTACTCACATTGATTCCAGTTGGACTGACTTTTCATTGTGAAGGTTGGTCTTCTCTCATCTCCTCTGGGGAGAGCTGCTGGAGATTGTGATGTCCAACGTAATTCTAAACTCACGCATGCAATAATTCACACACAAACCGAACTGAGATTGGGGAGAAACTGATATAAGCTGGAGCTGTCAGAACAAGGTATGAGAACTTGAGCCAGGTAGACACACTAACCTCTGTGGTCTCCCTTTCTGTGAGTAACCTCTGACCCTTATAAAGTAGGGGTCAAAGGTCACGTGCAAGTTTTATTCTTTCAGCAGAGGGAGAGCCTAGGTACAACAAGGGCAACCAGTTACGTAGATGTTTGTGTGTTTCCAGACATTTTATATGGTGGGCGATTTTCGATTTTCGATTTTCTTGCGTTCGATGTATTGGTTTTGATCTTAATGCGTTGCGAGGATGCTGAGCTGAGAACTGGATGCGCGGTCATCCTTCGTGAGATAGCTGGGTTGTTCCTACCAAGTTCTGGCTGGCGGTACTAGATCCTAAGATGGACATCACATCTAGCTCTCAATGAAGTGGGGAACGAAGATTCCTTTGTAACCTTCGCTTTAATGCTTCACAGTAAAACGTGGGGAACTGGTAGATGGTGAAAAAGTAGGGTATTCCCTCAGCAAGTAAGAGTAAAACTCCTCAGTTTTTAGTTTGGTGGAGGCCTCTGGCCCTCAAGGAAGTACCAGCCCTAGTATGCTTTCTGTGGGAAGGACTAAAATAGCCACATCTTACGGGGTTTCTGCGTTTCGGTGAGCTGTAGGCAGCAAGGGGTCTTGAGAGCAGAGCCGTCTGCAACCACCAACTCCAAACTTTGGTTTGGTATCAGGTCGGGAGCCTTGATGGGGGAGTTTTTGAGGATCCTCTCCCATGCTTCTTTCCGGAGCAGGGTGACCGCTGCCCCTGTGTCCAGCAAAAACGTGAGGTCGACGCCACTATTTTGGCCGGAGAGCTTGTATCCTCCTACAGGGGAGACAGGACATAGATTTACTCTAATAGAATGAGCCGTTGCTATGGGTCCCTCCGGCGGTAATTACAGGCTGAAAATTGATATATTATGCAGACTCTCTGAGACATAATTAAGATACCAACAGGGTAGCACTTCATTGGCTGAAACCTCTCAATTTCCTGCAACATCTGAACTGTTTCGTTAATCAGTCAGAGAGACAGAACTGGTCTCGCTACGCCAACTCACTGCTCCACCTGTCACCATGAGCAGATCTTGGTGCCCCATCATGTGCACTGTCACTTGTCATTTCTTTGTATGGTCTATTATGGAGATGGATGTTTAATGTTTTCTATCTTCCTCTCTCTAGGATGGAGCAACTCCACTCATTGCAGCCAGTTACTTTGGACACCTGGAAGTAGTTGGACTCCTGCTAGAATCTGGAGCTAAAGATCTACCTCATAATGTAAAAAAGGCTTACCAACTCTATTAGTCACATTTTTGTTTGAGTGCTGAACATAATATTAGAGGGATTGTCATGTGGTTGTGTGTGACTCTGCTGTGTGCCTACCCAGCATGGCCACGCCCATCAATTAGCAGTGCTGTCTCTCGGCACATGTGTAGAGTGCACCTACTGCAGGCTAGACTGCTGACGTCAGCACCCATTTGCATCGAAGGTTTAGTGCTGCAATAATGTGTGACTGTCTCTCATTTAGTCAATGAGTGTAATTTTCCCTCACCTCTCAGGATGGACGTACAGCCATGAGTGTCGCAAGAGCCAAAGGTCATCAGCAAATAGTCAAACTTCTACAGCAGTACAAAGTTTAAACTACTCTACGTCTCTCGACTCTACTTATTCTAACACTGTAGCCTAGTTCTATACTACATGTAGGTCATCAGCAACTTGTCTTTTACAGGAGTAAAATATTTAAAAGAAAGAACACTCTACATAAGACTCTTATCTCTCTACTATACTACATACCAGACTTACTGACTTATCTATTTCCTCCTTTTTACGTTTAACATACTGTGTTTTTGCTGATTTTTGTATGTCAGCGTAGTTAGTATACTACGTAACTGTACTCTAAGGTTTCGTTAACATTTTTTGCTACACCATGATATCAGAGATTTGCATGCTAGATGCACTTGCCACAGAGGTAGATGCTCATACAACCACCATGTAAGTTAACTCTTAACGTGCATGTGCAAGTGCTGTTACAGTATGTGTGTGTGTTGGGTATTGGGGGAAGGATAGTCCTAGAGTTTGGGAGGCGTGTGCCAACCTCACCACATGGCGGGCCTATGGTCCCGAGTGGTATGCGTCCTGTTGACACACTCTGACCCCCTCTTGCTACAAGGAGAAGTGTTTTATTAATAAAAAATTAAAAATAAAAAAATTAAATAATAAAAAAAAAAAAACTTAAAGAAAATTAAAACATTATAAAAAAAAAAAAATACTAATTTAAAATTAAATAATTAATAATTATATAAATATACAATAAAAAAAATACCAAAGAAAAAAATAATAAATAAAAAAAAAAAAACAAAAAAAAAAATTTATATAAAAAATAGATTAGATTATAATTGGGGCGCATTATTTCTACTCTTAAGGTCCGTGGTGACTACCTTGGAGTATATAGGGGGACCTAGTACATAACTAGCTAACAAGGGCTAACGTTAGAGAGGACCATATATATACATGACATGTGCATACAAGCTCAAGAGTATTATATTATATAGGACACAGAATGCTGCCTTGAGAGCTGGGAATGTGTGTTAAAGATCTTTGTATGGCACCCCAAATCCCCCATGTTACAGACTCTTATATATGTAAAATGTACCACTTACAGATTGTATTGACAATCACCTACTAGGCTCTCTGGGAATACAATCCTATGGTTCTACAATTTAATTTAAGCACAGTGGGGTGTTAGGGGATGTCATAGGTATGATCCTAAGGGAGAAGTAGTTTTGTTACTCTAGTCCAGTTTTACTTGGTTAGAATCACAAGTGTAACACGATGCGTGTGTGTATGTGTGCACGCACGTGTCTGTATGTAACTGCTATGCTTGCACTATAGGCTACGAGGTGGCCAACGAGCTATATAGATGCCAGGACCTCAGTGCTAGATCTGAGTATTAACCCTTTGGACGCCATGGGGATGAGTAGAAATTGATGTATAGCTAGTGTATTACTTCCTAGTATTTAACCCCCATATCAATTCTTAGGACTGGAGGCTCTGCACACATCCGCTGCGTGTTAAGTGTATAAGTGTTTATAGAATTCTGGTTAGGCTGGCTATGTATGCTAGCTACAGTAGCTTTTATTCCAAACAATCACTGTGGCTTGTATTGGTGTGCTGAAGCAGTGAATTGGGAAATGTTCTAAGTTTGTAGAATCATGCAAATCAGTGCATGGATGCAGCTTATGATAATTATTATATAGGAGTGTTCCTCCACTTTTTAACTATAAACAGACGTACAGGATGGATGGACAGACAGACCAAAGCCCTCACTGCGCATGCGTGCTGAAGGTTATAACCAGTGGAAACACCTAATCTATGCAGAAATTAGTGTTGAAGGTAGTCATTAACAACACATTTGAAGACGCAGGGAAGAATGCGGTAACGAACTGCAACTTTCCATTCCAGAAAACTTGAAGATCAGGTAGCCCAGTAGCCCCAGAGAGGCAAGGGACAGGCCCCAGAGCCCTCGTCTGATGACCGTCTGTTGAACGTTGTGTCTCTCCACCACACGACGGTAGGGGATACGTGTGAAGGCCACCATTGAATAGAGAGGGATAAAGAGAGACGGGAAGAGATAGTGGAGGGCATTGTCAATCCTTTTCCTGATTAAGAACAGGGGCGAGGTGACGTGGGAGCGCATCTCGATGTAGTTGTACATGGAGAGGTCGCAGATGGCGTGTGTGTCACTCAGTGGTTGTCCTGGTACAACTGAGCTGCTGCTGCTAGCTCTCCTCCACTCTCTGTCAGCACTCTGTCAATACGAGACAGTCTTCGAAACCGCATTCATCCCCTGCCCGTAGAATGGTACGACGGCATGCGCGGCATCCCCGAGAATGAGAGTGTTTCCAGCCATGAAGTGTGGGGAGCACTTGACTGATATCATCTTTCCCTGCGGGTTAGCAAAGTAGTCTTTATAGAGACGCTCGACTCCAATCTTGTTGATGCTATCGGGAAAATGGGCTGGAAAGAACGCGAGGAGGCTCTTTTCATTTCGAATCGACTCAAACACGCTGCAAGGCATGAAGAGGGTGAGGGTGAACGACTTGTCGCGATTGGGAAGAGCGATCATCATGAACTCGTGATGCGGCCAGATGTGGAGGAAAGTTTGGTTCCATGGCAAGTCCCCGCTGGGAGTTGGAGGCATGGTGAGTTCCCTGTAGCCGTGCTGGATGTACTCCTGCTGATAATTGAGTCGGCCCCACCTCATCATCTGTCTACGAACTGTCGAGTGGGCTCCATCGCACCCGAAAACAAACTCGGTCTGAACCGTCTTCTTTCCCGTGGCTCCATCGCTAAAAACCAGTGTATGAATGGAAATGTTAGGGCTCTCCTCTGCCTTGGTCAGGAGTAGCTCGTTGAGGGCTCGTCTGTTCACAGAATAGATGCAGTCGTCTCTTTTGGTCCCGTAGGGAATAGAGTACTGGTTCCCGCTCACCGGGTGGATCATTCGAGCTCGCATGGGAATGGCCGTTGAGAGCACCTCGTCTTCCAGACCCACGGCTCTCACGGCCTCCCTGCCGCGACGACTGAGCGCCAGGTTGATGCTCCGCCCGCTGACTTCTGCGGCACGGCGGATGTCGCTTCGCGATTCGTGGAGGTGGACGCGGAGCCCGCGCTGCCCGAGGGAGACGGCCAGCAATGAACCCACCAGACCTCCGCCCACTATTGTCACTCCTTTGTTCCCGTCTTCCGGCTCAGGCATGTCTACTATCTGGTGCCCTCGTTCTTAACCTGCCACCTCAGGTAGGTACCACAACGTAGAATTCGGCCGTGGGCAGCGACCTGCGACTGTGCGACTGCAAACTGCTGTCTCTTTACGTTGTTTTTGCGCATGCTCTAACGCATGCGTAATTAACTGGAGGGGCGTGGCCTGTGTCACACTAACGCACCAAACCCCCCGGCGCCACACTGCATCTTCCGATTTTTAGGCTACGCAGAAGTTTGCAGTGAGTGACTGACGTGTGTTTAGTTGGTGGATTCTAGCGATGAACCTCTCTCTTCTGCTTGAGAACCTGAAGACACGCTTCGATCAGAAGCGGTTCAAGGCCACAGTCAACAAACGGAGACACTGTGAGTTATTGACACCTCTAAATCTATGTACGTGGTACTTCGCAGTCTGTGATAGAGACAAGACTGCAAGAGTTCTGCAGTGCACGAGACGTACTTGTTCTTACTTGTGATTCTGTGGAGTAGTGTATTTTTGGGCTGACTTGTATGGGTTTGCGTTACCTCGTTTTGGTCCGAGATGTAACGTCTGTTCTCGTTTTTATGGAGCCTGTGTCTTAGGATACACGCATGTCCACCTGCACTAGGTGTTTATCTTTCCCATTGCAACTCTACTAGTGGCTCAAATCATATGATCCGTTTGTTTGAAGAGCATGCTGCACTTTGTCAAAGTGTGGTGTAGGTAGGTTGCTGAGGTTTTCATGATTGCACTTTGCATGCATGTGTGTTGTGGTTTTGAAAACAGCAGAAGCTCAACAGCCAGTTGGTTGGTTCACAGTACCATGCATGCAGCCATCTGACATTTCTGATGTGATGAGTCAGACCCTCAATAATTATGATTGTATAGTGTTAACCCCTTTGGACGCAATGGGTATCTCCTTAAATAAGCAGAAGTTGATGTATAACATTTTAGCGCCTAGTATTATAGCCATATATTCTTATGCACTTACGGAGGCTCTGGGCATTATGTCCGTGGCGTCCAAAGGTAGATGTTGGTTGCCTCTCCTGTGCATATTATACATACACCTGTTTACATGTATATACCTAAATTCTGAGAGAGGGGCAGCTTTTTATTGTGTAACCTGTGGTAACCTGGTTCACCATTAACCTAATTAACTTTCCAAGCACTTTGTAATGTGATACCTTCCTCCTCTGTAACTGGTTAATAGGTGCTGCTGTGTATACAAAGGCTCTAAGACATCCTCCATATGGTGCTCATTTGCTCAGTACAAACTGTGTGCTTTGTCAATTGCTAAGTCTAGGTACATATATAGGCTGTGAGCCAGTTCAAATTAGCACTCAAAGTTGCGGTCAGTTCTCTATGTACCCAAACAGAAGTTCCTGGTAAAGACTGAGGACAGATTCAGCACACCTGCTCTCTCATACTTCATCTATAGTTGTAGACATCATAGCAGGTGGTGTGCATAAAGAATAACAATATTTTCCCTGCACCTTGCCTTTACTAAAAGCTAGTACCATAGGCTCTAGAACAAGTGCATTACCAGTCTGTCCATACTCCTTTGTTAGAACACTCTTATGTACGTTAAGTATACAGTCTGAAGAAGGCTCTGACTACAGCAGAAACCCTACCAAAACGACCGTTGGTCTGTGTTTCCAATTTTGATTCCCAAAGCCAACTATTTACCTCTTATCCTCTGCTCCCTTCTCTTCCTCCCTCCCTCCCTCCCTCCACTAACCTCAGCTGGGTTGAGGGATGCATTCTTTGAGACCACGTTCCAGCAGATGTTTGTGGAGGACCGCAGGTCTGGTAGAGATGACCTACTCTTCTACGTCAAGTATGACGTCAATGAAGACAAGGACACAGTCGACGTGTTGAGGAGTGACTCTAGGACACTGCCTACGTGAGTTGCTAATTTTGTTGAAAATGTTTCTTCCTAAACATAGCAAACGAGGAGACAGTGTTTGGGTGTTTTATATGTCATTCATAGTTGCCTATAGATACATAAGCTTAGAAACATATCTGAGCAGCTAATACTGTTTTATGTCACTATGTGTGCGTCCTGGTTGACTTGTTTGCCTTGCCTTTCTACCTCGTTACTAAGATATGCATATACTCAGTTTGGAGTTGGGCATCTTTGGTGGTTTAATTACCCCGGTCTGCTTCTACATACCGAGTGAGAGGATATGGCACAGTGGTTTGAGGTTTGCGTTTGTCTTGTGTTATGTTGAAGATTTGAACCCTACGTACCAGCTGAGTTGCCCTGGTAGCTCAGTTGGTAGAGCGCTCGCCTAGACTGCAGAGTGTAGGGCAGCTCTTTCTCCCTTGCAAAAAGAGTTGTCCTGGGTGTACATAGTTGACTTGTTTGCTTTAATTGCCTTGCCTTTTTGCCTCGTTTTGGTTACATGCTAGTAAATGGTACAGACTTGGGCTGCCCCTGAGATAGGCAAGCACATCATCTTTTAGAGTAAGTGTCACTGTATCGAGCCATGCCAGCCAAGTACAGGTCTTCACCTCACAATAAGAACAGGTTGCAACATTCCCGTTTGTTACTAATTATGTGCATGTGGTAGAAATTATACATGTACTTGTTGCATCAGTGGGCCTGTTACTTACATACCACCAAGAGTGCCAACCCTAATGATCATACCTTAGTTTATACATAATGTACTCACTACATAATGTAGGACGTCTTGTGTAGTGCACAATGCAATAAGTGTATGTAGTTTGTGAGTGCTAGGAAATAGATATATGATCACAGGGGAAGGCATCCTCAGTTGGCATTACTCCACTCCACCACTATAGCTAGCTGTAGGAGTCCAGTACATAGCAGGAGGGTGGTGTATTGAGGGTGTCCCTATCATCAAAGAGCTGGCCGTCCTTTGTGTGAATGGAAATGTATGATCAAAGCCCTCTACACCTTCCTGGCCCTCTTCTTTGGCAGAGTTACCAGGTTTCCATTATACTCTCAACATGTTACGACACAACCTTCCTTCCCTTCCTCCGGTTTCCTTTTTCTCTGTACCTGTAATGTACTTCTTCATGTGTACATATAATAGCTACAGAGACCTTAGTTCATACGTGATTGTAAATACACGTGAGCATGCACAAAAAATTAAACTGGTGACTTATGTAGCTTGCCAAGCATTTGTTCTAATGTAGAGAGTATCTTCCAGTGATCGTTTCCCACTATTATCTCCCACTGCACTCCTCCTCTCATGACATATATACACAGTCCTGTGGGAATACAATGCTCCAGATGGCGTCCCTCCATTCATTGCCAAGTCTTGTGTCTCCAGCATGCAGTCCATTGTCATGTACTGTACACCCTACGCTGTCTGCACTACTGTCTGTGGTTTGCTCTGTGTGATATTTCAGCTGTGTGACGGAGTTTGGAGACATGAAAACTAAACAGCTCACACTTTTAAGCAGGCCATACGCGTGGCAACTTTGTCGCTCAACAAAAGTTGCAGCAAATTTGAAAGTATATTAGTATGGGAAGGCCAGACAAGTAGTTGCAGAAATGCTAGAAAAGCTATCTATTTCTGGTAACTAGTTGCCTGGGCCAATTGTATCAACACACTTTAACATTTAACCAGCCAAGGACACAAAAAATGTGTCCATGTCTCCATTAAGCAGCAGAATTTTATATGGAGGTTTTAATACTAGGCGTTAATACTTTGTACATGGTTTCTGCTTGTTATATGTATTTCTCTCGTGGAAAGGGTTAAGTTGCTGCAACTTTTGTTAAGCAAACAAAGTTGCTGCGTGTATGGCCTGCTTTACATGGAGAAAGAAGAAAAACCTGAGAGGGAGGGAGAGCTTCTGAAGGGCTCCAAAACCCTTTATACAACAAAACACATGACATAGACCAAGGCTTGTTGACTGCAGGGCTTTGTACATGTACATATGTAAGTTCATCTTATAATCGAAATCCGTTAATTTCACTCATGCACTGTAGCTTAATTTTTTTGCAATAGTTTGCTGCATGCATCAAAAAGTCTCGGCATGCTCTCCCTTCCCTTCCCCAAAAATTCACAATGCATTTGTTCATGTTAGTTAACTACAATTTTTACCTCACATTGATTTTTTTTTATAGTGTTCAGGTGTTACAGATTCAGACTTCTTTGAGAGACAATAGACAGAGATGGGTGGACTGTTAATCAATGTTTTAGACTGAATGTCACTGAAACCTCAATACACCTGCAGGTTTCCCCTTTTGCCTTGGAGTCAGTCAGAGAGCCAGAACTGGTCTCGCTCAAAACCACCCATTCTTCCACCTGTCACCATGATCACTCTAGCTGCTTCTTCGCTGCCTGACCGAGGCTGCACCTCTTGTACTAGCTGTACCTACATGTCCCCCTCTGCACGTATACGCAGCTGTTACTGTGACTCAATACACCTGTGAGGTAGCATTAGAAACCAACAGGCCCATCTGTCACCACGAGCATATGTTATGGTGTAATTATGGAGATGGATGTCCTCTACAGTGGAACTCTCCATAACTGAACCCTCCGAGAACGGACAAACACTAAAACGGATTGAAACTACCTTAGAGAGCTGATACAATTGGAAATCTCCGAGAATTGCCGACGCGTTTTTGCTCTGTCCTGGATCCAACAACGGCACCACCGCGCCCCGGACTGTACTCAGCCCCTATACATTTTTACCGTCTGTGAGCGTACAGAGAAAAGCCACTCCCACAGAAACTTCGCTACATCCATTTTGAAGAGCGAGCCACAACGCTAAAGAACACGGCAGTGTTGGTTTCCACTATCTTTGCCCGGCAAGCACAGCGACAAGCAATTCGAAGACTGGGAAACCGCACCCTCCCCGCTATGTGCACTTTTTTATGTGCATTCTTGCGCAGTGTGCTAATGCTCTCATAATGTCGTCGTCGGCATAATCAAGAAAATTTGTTTTAAATCACCCACCAACATGTGTTTATATAAGACAACCTCCGAGATGGGTACGACCTCTCTACAAAGGGACCAAAGAGCCGTTGACCTAAGGGTCCCAATCTCCTCGTAGGTTCCACTGATTATTCCTAACAATAATTCTCCCCTCTTTCTAGATGGAGGCAACTCACTCTTGATGGCAGTCAAAATGTGTAACCTGGAGGTAGTTAGACTCTGCTGATGTCTGGAGCTAAAGATCTCCTTTGTGTGGTTAGAGGATAAGACGGAAGCCTTCAAAAAAGGGGCGAGAGGAAAAGTAATGATGGGAGTGGATGTGGGAAACGAAAATAAGAAAGGAATGTGGTTGGGAGGGAGGGATGAAAAGGGGGAGAGGATAAGGGGGGATGGTGTAAAGCGTTCAGGGGGGAAAGGGCTTGGAGAGGAAGCGAGGACGTTCTCAGGCGTGCCTTCTACTTCCACCGGTTTTATTAACTGTTGTGAAGCACCTCTTTTTTTTCTTTTGTATTTTATGTATACTTTTTCGCTTTTTCATTTACTGCTTTTTTCATTTATATATTTTTCTGTGTTTGCTTTTCCTGTTCATGCCTACCAGCATGGCCAGACCTATCAATTGCAGTGACATTTAAATGTAGCAAGGAAATAGTCTGCGTTCTTCTCGACACATATTATATGAGCAGCCTCCTGTATATAACATACAGTTTTAGTTGCTGCAATAATCTCTCATTTAGTCAATGAGTGTAAATTTTCCCCTCCCCCTCTCAGGATGGACGTACAAGCCATGAGTGCTTCAAGACATAGCAAATGTCAAACTTCTACAACAGTACAAAGTTTAAACTAATCTCTAGCTACTACATAACACTGTTAGCTTAGTCTATACTACGTACACCAGAGATCACCAAATTTCAAACTTTTGATAGCATTAATAGTAACTACTCTACTTTCACACACTGGCGGCTCGTTCATTTCTAGTATTGCTTATTCTCAGCTCTCCTTCATTTTGAACAGCGGTTTAGCATAAACTTTTGTATATTATTTATGTCCATTTTAATTGTTACACTGCTCTCTCTATGTCACGATGGTCAACGGTAATAATTGTATTAGTTATTGCTGCACCACCACAGATTAACGCAAGTTAAGGACAAGCTACAGGTGTTGCAACAATGTTAACAGTGCAGTGACAACTGTACTAGCCATTCTAGCAGAGGTGGGTCCTAAGTATATACAACCAGGAATATTGCGGGTATCCACTCTCAGGTAAACCGTTGCGTTGCCGTATAATAGTGCAAACTGACAAGCAAAATTTCAACAAAACCTTAGACATTTCGTGATCTCTTCTTTTCTATATACCATGCTGTGGATTGGAACTTCTAAATCCTTCCTGTGCAGACATGTATGGATGTACCGAAACAAACATCGCTTGTTTTGTAACAACTGAAAAGGGGTTTACATGGCACCGGCAAGATCTATGCTTAATCTGATACGAGTGTGTGTGTGTCTG